TTGTGTCAGGTTGGGTTGGCGGAGATTTTTTTGTAAAATGTTTCTACAGTTGAAGAACAATTGAAACAAACAAAAATGGATGTCTAGAGTGGAATATATTTTTTTGATTTATTTTCCAGTTGTAACTACTGCGAATGATAAATTTTCAAAAATGAAGAAATTGTAAACTCCTATGATGTTCAAAATTCTACATATCAGCATCCATCCTTCTTAATTTAAACATCTTTTTTGTCACTTTAAATTTCATTTATATAAAAAAACCGGGTTCAAGTTATTTATGTTTCGTATACAAACATGATTTATGATCGTTATTGTCAAGATTCTTAAAAAAAATTTGAATCATTTGTACATATTTAGATGAATGATATATGAAGAAGGATTATCATGAAATAACGGAAAAATCCGTCGACAATTCTGTATCTATTACAATGGACTAACAATTAGTATGATAAACGACAGTCAGCATTTGACAAAATGATAAATGAAAGTATATTGCTGCATAAGTAAGGGAAGTTGATGATAGAAAAGTTAAAGTCATCACGTTTATCATATAGCTTGGTTGTTAGATTACCATTAACAGATTTTCCATACTATGTGGTATCTTTTATCTCAAGCTCATCAGGATATATCGTATCGATGTAGGATGGAAACCACCATTGTTAATTGACAATACGTCGCCGATATATCAAAATGTCAAGTTGAAGGTCACAGCAAGTGTTTTCTAAATATACTCTCACTGATGATACATATTTCTGCGCATCAGGTGTCAGTTTTAATATCTCACTCTGCCACTGATTTTAAAAGTACGTATGAACAACAGTAAAATACGGCCTTTTAAATTTATACATTGTAGGAATTCATGTGATAATCCTTCATAGTGGTTTTACAAACGAGAACAGTTTAAATGCCAACAAAACCGTATCCAAATATAGACGACTTAATACAATCGAGATATTTATAATTTTGTATATAAAGACTTCTTTACAGGAAACGTAGAGGTAAGTTTAAATAACATCAACCGTAAACAATTTTGAAAAAAAAAACGTCTCCGAAATCTACTATCAATAAATATAGTATATTTGAAATTTAAAAATTACAAGGCATTTTTGTGAGATCTCTGTGATATTTTCTGTTTGATTTTTTTTTCAAATACCTATCAAGCCAAACGTGTCATCATAAATAAAGAGGCAGATATTCTCTAGATGTGTCTTTTGACATGAATGAAAATGACGGAAGAAGAACAGGGATATTACATTGACTTTAATGTTTAAATTAATCCTTTTTTTCACTATCACAAATAAAACAAATTAATAATCCGTTTAAAAAACAAATCAGTGTAATATGTAAGGAAAATTCCATGCACTTACCAAAGTTTTAAAAGAGGTAGAGGATTGATTAAATCCTGTAAAGTAAAAATATGACAAGGATTTTCATGATTTAATAGTGTATTTATAAATATTCAGTGTAAATCTCTTTCCGATAGTAACAAACCCGCAATTTAAAAATAAACTTAAAGTTACACAATGAGTACAAATCATGTGTTTCCTCTAATATATCTCTAGCATATATAGAAAGACTTAATTGTGAGTATATAGTGAAAATATGACTGCACAGTAAAGCAAGAAAAGACTGCAAAATATAAGTGCCGAAAAAACAATCGTTGCATTTAGCTTTCTTCAATGCATTGAACGTCTAACATAACATGACCTTTCATCGTAAAAGAGACACCCTGATGCACAAAGGGGAAAATTGATATACGTAGAAATTTGCACAATTCGAGTATTTTTTTTAAAAAGTATTAGATTTCAGAAAATTAAAGATTTCAGGACCTTAGTTTTTATGGAGAAAATAAAAGCAAAAATAATTTCAGTATACCCCATAACAAAAACATTTTTATACTTCTATTTTACGTGTGGAAACCTGGTGTTTAAAACTTGAAACCATATCATGAAGAAAATGTTATACCTTTATTACGGGCTGTGTGCGTTGAAGCATTGCATATGAAGTTAAATTGATTACCTATTTAATGTATTTTGGACGAAGGGATCAATCATAAAATTTTGCTTGCGGACAAAGAGAAGGAGAATTAAATTTTTATCCGTGATCTATAGAAATGGAAACGGAAAACTTAATTACGTTTAAAGTACGTAGTTCTAATTATAAATAATATTAAAATTGAATACTATTAGTTATCCAGGTTCAATCAAGGGTGTACGGGGATTTACGGCCTCAGGGTTGAATTCTATACACCCTGAGGGCGAAGGCTGTGTAAATCCCCGTACACCCTTGATTGGACCTTGATAACGAATTTATTTCCTACACCCATAAAAATTCTTTACAAACATCAAAGTCTAATCAACTGTGTCTTAATTTATCGATAAGATAACTACGTACTTCAATGCATCGTGACGTCACATTATTTCGTTTTTATCATAGATAAAGTATGCATTGTGACGTCACGTTTTATTTACCCCCGGCTCAAGTCGGGTGCACGGATATTTACACCCGACTTTGTAACCAATCAAAGCTCGCGTTACAAGCTAGATAGAAAATAATGTTCGTTATCTCCATATCCTTCTTCCCTAGAATAAGCATTTCAAAGAACAGTTAAAACTGATGTGCAAAGGAGAGTAAAAACGACTTATCTATGGATGTTTTAAAGCATGGTGAATCTATGGTGTTTTGAACGACATTTGATAAACGTAATAGTAAAGCTTTAGAATTTTTTTATTTAAAAAAATATTTGTTTTATTCACTGGTATACTGCTGTAAAATTTTGTAAATTGATGAACTGTTCATTATGAAATATATGTTGTAAATAACATTTATGAATTTCCAAGGCGTTATACATACCTTGCATTTATGATGTTAGTCCATTATTTATACACTGAATTGACGACGGATTTTTTCCGTTATTTCCTGATCATGACAAGGAGCACACGGCGGGTGTGACCGGTCGGCAGGAGATGCTCACTCCTCCATGGCACCTGATCCCACCTATGATGTTTCGGGGGTCCGTTTTGCTCTGCTCTTATTTTGTATTGTTTTATGGACTTTGAGATTAAATAGTGTTCGTTATCTCCATATCCTTCCGGAAATATTTATCAAAAATTAAATGTTATTTTCAATATTTTAGATGCTTTTACCACAATTTCAAACTTTATAAGTTATCTGCTTTATTTTGTTTTATGAGTAATAATTTTTATTTATGTTTGAAATCATAGGTATTGCAACTTATGGATGTGCTTGGATGCAGCAACGTATGCAATCCCCAGTGTAAAGTACGACGGTGTTTTCTTTGTAAAGGAGACGTAGAATTCTACTGTTCCACATGTAAACATGACTTGTGTCTACAATGTAAAGAGGGCCATGTTATTGATCTGGATACCATATACCACGATGTTGTGATTTACCGCGAGAAATACGAAAACTTTACAAAACAAGAAACATGTGTTAGACATCCAAACAGAAACTATGAAAAATATTGCCAGTCCTGTGAAATTCCTGTCTGTGTCCAATGCACAGAACACAGAAATGACAAAATGCTTTGTTTCTTTTTACAATGCACAAAACATAAAAATCACAATACTCAGGATATTAAAAAAGTATATAAACTATACCGACAAAAGTTTAGAAAATTTTTTCAAAACATCAGAAGTGAGACTCTTTATAGCAGCCGGTTTATCCTGGCCGGAATAAAAAAAGACGTGAAATCTTGTCGCACAAAAATCTCCATCTGTCAATCACAAATGATTACAGAAGGTCAAAGGTTAAAAATCCTCATTAACACTGTGGTATGTGAATTTAGAATGAAACATAATAGTTTTCTTGAAAGATTTAAACAACAAAAAATAATAATGAACAGACATATTGGCAGAATAGAGTACTATGAAGACAAATATGAGCAGTTAGTGCACACCTCGGTTAAATTTAATATTTCATTCCTTAAGAAATTCTGTGTCTCTGAGATAAAGGAAACTCCTAATCTTTCGCGACAAGCCCCGCTCTTTCTTGCTCAACAACTCAACATTCGGGATGTAATCAAGTTACTGGGTAAAATTCATATCATAGAGACGGGGAAAAGACAATTAAGATTTGAAATGACTACACCTATGTTGCGCAAGTCTATCACGGTGAAAGGTGTTAGTAATGTGGATCACATTTCCTGCGTACCATCAGATCGCGTCTGGATTAGTGATTGGTATAACAATCTCATTTTGACAAATACAGAAGGTGACAAACTACATCATCTGACGAATGTGCTAGGTTCTTATACAGGAATACACACGGTGAATAGAGTTGGTGAACTCATTTATACAGACAAGGAGTTTAACATCAATGCATCCACCAAATATATCAGAACTATGGTTACATTAATAAAGAAGACAGAACCATGGAAATCGCAGTGTGTATACTGCTCCCCTGTTAATGGAGATTTGCTGGTTGGAATGTATAATTCGGATACGGAAAAATGCAAAGTAAACCGTTACAACGACGCAGGACAACACATACAGACAATACAATACAACGAGGAAGGTCAGGAACTCTACAGATACCCTGTGTTTATCACAGAAAACCGCAATGGAGATATAGTTGTGTCAGACTCTTTCCATGCTGTAGTGGTTACAGATTGTATGGGAAGACATCGCTTCTCCATACAGGAATCCTCACTAATGCCGAGTGGAATCTGTACAGACGCGATGTCACATATCCTGGTGGGTGATTTGAAAACCTTCTCGGTACAAATGATTGACAAGGACGGTCATATTCTACCCCCGATTCTTAAGGTGTATCAGTTAATGGATAGACCACGGTGTTTAAGTTATGATCACAAAAGTCACCTTCTTTGGGTTGGATTATCAGACAACAAAGTGTGTGCATACAGATACTTAGAAAGGCAAAACTATCTGTAATGTGATTTGATAAGTCTGTTAGATTAGCATACAAAGAAGGCGATCAAGAGTCATTGAAAACATAATTTTACTCCGTCAAGAAAGGGGAACTGGGCGTTTCTGTTTGCTTGCTTTTGTCAAGAATTTTTCTGTTATAATTGAATGATGCCTGTTCCTGTGGTATTCTGAAAATAAACTATTTTTATTGGAAAGCGCGGTCTGTCGGCCGCGAAAGATCATTTCCCTCCTCGAATAGAAATTCGAATGAAAAGTGAACGGACTTGAAGGGTAAAAGATGCATAATATTTATCACGACAATGACATTTGCAGTTACTAGCTAAATCATTCAGATGAAATACAAAGGCACTTAGAATGTTGAAGTAATTATAAGTGATTGAAAGTAAAAAAGTTCAAGAAGTGCTGTATTATAATTTTTTTGGTAATTTGTAGCTGAAGATATATGGTCTGATCATTGCAGAAATAATGAAGAATGAGCCTCAGGCTATATTAAAACAAACAATGTTAATATACAATCAGTATGTTTCTTTCCTGAATTAAGGTCTTATCGGTGAAGCAAACAAGTAGATGGATTTCAAAACAAGGAATTTAAGAAAAAATAACACGAACAAACTTTTTTTTCAGAAACCAGCAATATTTCTTATAGATGTACTTTTCAATCCCAACTAAAGTGAAAGAAAGATTTTGTCATTAGGTTAAAAATTTATGCAAAATTGTGTATGGAATTATAGAGAAACCAAAACAAAATCTCATATCTAAGCAACAAGGAAAACCTTGCAGCACACGTGATGCGCATGCTTTCATGATAATTCTTATATATAATGCTGTAGATCTTTATTATGTATGACTATGTTCAAAAGAACTATATGCGGTATATTGCATATATTTGCCCCCACAAAAGTCAAATTTTGAAAACTTCCTGAAATGTGCTGAATTCAATAAATTGTATGAGAAATACAAATTAACAGAAAATATTATAGTGTCAAATCAGTGTATTCACAAATTTTGTTTTGATGATGTCACAAACTAGTCCGATTTTATATCCTTTTTCAGAAAGAGGACAAAATGGACAAAATTTAAACAGTTTTAGCTTTAAAATTTATAGAGCGCAAGTTTGTTCAGGAACAATATTGACATATTTCATTGATATTATCATTCTACACATTATATCAAAATATTGATCCTGAACACACATGCGCTCGGTAACTTTTACTCAAAATATCGACGAAATATGTACATTTTTCTTTAAAATTCATAAAAAAACTGAAATTTACGTCATGTTTGTGACGTCATTACCTACATATGGCGTCATTACTTATGAAAATATTCAGTTCTTTGAAGTCAGCATATATACTCTCCTGTTTAAGAACTTAATTAAATATATCTCCATCAAAGTTTGATTGGGGGGGGGGCAAATACTGGTTATTATGTTCCCCAAACGAAGTTGGGGAACGTATTGTTTTTACTCTGTTTCTTATTATTATTATTAAGGTCTTCCGTCTCCAACGGAAGACCTTATTGTTATTCTTCGGTTTCTTTTTCCCTATTATTAAGGTCTTCCGTCTCCAACGGAAGACCTTCTTGTTATTCTTCGGTTTCTTTTTACCTATTATTATTATTATTCTTACCAATTTTGTGCACGCAATTTCTCGTAAACTACTGGGCCGATCCTCATGAGACTTTCACATCTGATAGGTACTGATCTAAACCTTATTGGAAATTTTTTTTGTTGATGACGTCACTTCCGGTCGTGAGTTATCTACAATTTCCTGATTTTAAAATGCAATTTTGTCTGAACTTAGTAGCGAAAACTGCTTAAGATATGAACAGGAGACTTATTTGAGATGATAGTTCATGACTTATAGCTTTGCAGAATCACCTTTCCGTGTGTCATCAATACTTCCGGTCGCTACCGGAAGTGAATTTAAAAAACGCAATTTGTCAACTTTTATTTTTTAATATTTTTGTTTTTGATGTGAATAGAGACCTTCTTGTAGAAGCCAAATATGTAATTTGTTTGAAAATCGAAAAAGCCAATCTCGAGATATTTGCATTTGAAAACGCAAAGCGGCGATCCCAATGGCTAAATGGTTAGCGCGTTGGATTGTCACGCGGGCGACCCGGGTTCGATCCCCCGTGTGACCAAAAATTTTTATCATTTTTTCTGCTTGATTTTTCGATTTTTTTTAATTTTAGACCATTTGGAACAATATATTATAAACTTTTAAGCATATATTGCGTAATTAGGGGTTACAAGGGGCCAGAATGTCAAATCTTTAACGCTTTATATCTCGAAAAGGGGGAATATTTTGATAAGCAATATTGAACAAAAGATGGCCAAAATAATGTTCTAAACAATATGCATACTTTGAATTTTTGTAAAACGGCCCCATTAAGGACTTGTAGGAGTGACCCCTAAATATTTCCATTTAGCATATCTCCACAACGAATAGAAATCTCTGAATAAGTATTAAACAAAAAATCTTTCAAATCACAAGACCTTTTATTTGATATCAAGAAAAAAGGGCTGACCCCTCAAATTAAGGGCTCAGAGGGGCCAAAAGTCTTTTATCTATAACTCTCTAATGATCAAGATTTTGTAATACATTACTGAAGCAAAAGTATTTATCTTAACGATTTGTAACAATATATGATACAAGTTTGATCATATGTTACATAATTAGGGGTCACAAGGGGCCAGAATGTCAAATCTTTAACGCTTTATATCTCGAAAAGGGGGAATATTTTGATAAGCAATATTGATCAAAAGATAGCCATAATAATGTTCTAAACAATATGCATACTTTGAATTTTTGTAAAACGGCCCCATTAAGGACTTGTAGGAGTGACCCCTAAATATTTCAATTTAGCATATCTCCACAACGAATAGAAATCTCTGAATAAGTATTGAACAAAAAATCTTTCAAATCAGAAGACCTTTCATTTGATATCAAGAAAAAAGGGCTGACCCCTCAAATTAAGGGCTCAGAGGGGCCAAAAGTCTTTTATCTATAACTCTCTAATGATCAATATTTTGTATTACATTACTGAAGCAAAAGTATTTATCTTAACGATTTGCATCAATATATGATACAATATTGATCATATGTTACGTAATTAGGGGTCACAAGGGGCCAGAATGTCAAATCTTTGACGCTTTATATCTCGTTATTATTATTTTTTTTTCTTACCGATTTTGTGCAGACGATTTCTCGAGAACGCCTCGACAGTTTTTCATTAAACTTTCAGCAATGATAGGAAACTATTTGAACTTTATGCGTTTTTTTTATTTTGCCGTCGTCACTTCCGGTCGCGAGATATGGCCATTTTTCTGTTTTTAAAGTGTCATTTTGTTCGAGAGTGTTCTCAAAAACGGTTGGAGATTGGGTCCTGAAACTTTCAGGGATGATAGATTATGACTCGTAGATTTGAGAAGGATATATGGTTTTTGTTACCATTGCGTCCGTCGTCCACCGCAAGTAGTTTAAAATATGCAAAATTTTATTATTTTCTCTTTTAAATGTTTCTTATGAATGCAAATAGAGTGTCTCATGTAATTTAATGTCCACCGGAAGTTATTTTTCCAAACCGGTAGTAGTCCAAAAAATGAGCATTTTTCCTCGAAATTATCAGGGATGATTCCTTCACACTCAGAAAGGAGTTATAGGTCATTTTAATTACTTCAGGTCACACCGGAAGTGAATTATAAAGACTGGAAGTTGTTTGAAATTGATAGATTTCACTCTTAAATGTGCTCTCGCGTATTTTGAATAATTGATCTGAACACTTTTTTTCATTTAAAGTTGTTTTATAACCTTATCAAAAATCGAACGGAAGACCTACTCGTTGCTCGCAACGAGATCTCATCTAGTTATTATTATTATTCTTTTTTTCTTACCGATTTTGTGCACGCGAGTTCTCGAAAACGGCTAGGTCGATTTTCACGAAACTTTCAGATCTGATAGATATTGGTCTGAACCTTATTGGAAATTTTTTATATGTACGTCGTCACTTCCGGTCGTGAGATATGGACGATTTACTGATTTTCAGAGGGTCAGCTTGTCCTGGCAATCACTCAAAAATGAATGAAGATATTGACTTGAGATTTTCAGTGAATGTAGAGGAATGATATCTAAATTGCTTTTTTGAGTCTATATCTTTCTATCGTAAAAAGCGTCGAAACTCTCGTGAGCTCGTTATTATTATTTTTCTGACCATCTAATTTTGTGCACGCGATTTCTCGAAGACAACTGGATGGATTTTCATGCAATTTGCAGGAACAATGTGTTGTAATCTGAAGTTATTCTATCCAAGAGATTTTTTTGGAAATTCCATTCTGGTGCCAAGTTACGGACAATTTTCTGATTTTAAAATGATATTTTGTTTGCAGATAATCTCAAAAACAGTAAAAGATATCACTGTGAAACTTTCAGGGATTATAGATCGTGATAAGTACTATCCAAGACGCGATCTTTTGTATGTCGTCTCTACTTCCTGTCGTAACGGCATGCAAATTAAAAAAGTCAAATTTTTCAACTTTTTTGTTTTTCAATATTTTCAGACTATATTAGAATGGTTGATAGAAACATTTCGCATTAGGCTGAATATATAATTTGTTTGTAAATTGATTAATTCAAACTCGATATATTAACATTCAAAAATATGAAGCGGGATCAAAATGGCGGCGGTCTCTGTCAATTCCGACATTTCGCAATAGGGTTTTACAGAGGCAGCCGAGCGTTTGCTTGAACGAAAGTTACATAAGGAGCAATGAAATGTGTTGGGATACTTGGATTGTCACGTTGAAGGTTCGTTTCAATTCTGTGTCAAACTACATTTATAATCCAAGGTCTCCTTACAAGTCTTCTTTAATTGGTTTTGGTTGTTTCTCAAAGTAGAAATAGAAAAGAATTAATGTACAAATTGAGTATACATGTAATATCTACTATCTTTTGTTTTGCATCACGGAAACACATAACTTAAATCATAGTTATAATTCATAG